CACACACACACACACACACACACACACACACACACACACACACACACACACACACACACACACACACACACACACACACACACAATACTGTCACAAACACTTTAATCTCTACCCTTTACAGATAAAAAGACCCAAGAAACCCATCATTATCTTGCTATGACTCCTCTGTGTTTACTCCTGCAGGGCTTTCCCCACGACCAACATAACATCTGACTGTGGTTTGATGATAGCACAAGATAATGCATAATCATCATGTCACTGTGGTTTTCCATCTGTTAACATCATGTTATATAATCCTTATCTCATCTGATAAAAAGTCCCTCTTCCAAATACAACATCCTTTCTCATTTGCATCTGTAGAAACACGAGTTAGCACTTGTATGAATCTGATAACACACAGGACGCGTTTTTATACTTGAATAAAATACACATTTGAGCTCGATGCTGATTCATTTAACATTAAGTGCCTTAAGCAAGGAGGTGGTGTAGCTTAAACCATCATTTTTACTTTCATTTAGTTATTTTCCCAGGAGGCTCACTTAAGAAGCCTCAGGAAACACAAGTCTGTCAAATGCAGCCTATTTTTGACATGAACATTCAATTTATTAAGAAAACAGGGTACATTCTTACATTAACCAATACAGGGGAATTCTTACTTGCAGTAAAAAGTTGACTGATCGTAATCTTACATACCATTTCCTCCAGCCTCACATTATTTTGGAATAGAAAGTGCTTTTACTCAAAAGCCCAGAATCATGAACTCTTCCCTTCTCTCCTCACAGGGCATTCGAGGGATTGACGGGGGTCAGGGTTCAAAGGGAAACATAGTGAGTATATTATGTGTAGAAGCAACACATTTCTGATGACAAATGACTTCCCGTGACATCATTTCCTGTTTGTAACAGGGAGCCGCCGGAGAGGTCGGAGCTAACGGACAGCAAGGCAACCCTGGCATTCTGGTACGAACAGACAACACAAATAACTCAGTTCATACAGAGAGATATTAACGATGCATTCAGAGTGCCAAGTCCAGGCTTTGATTAGAAATGTTCTCACCTTTCATGCTGTGTTGAAATATTTTGTATTTTGTGTACACATTTATAAAAAATAGATAATAATGGCCTAGTTTTTTTAACGTTTGGAAACATACAACAAATGTCTAAATGCGTTTTCATTCATTTCATCTCTAGTATGAACTGAACTGATTGTATCTCTGTGTTGTTATTCCCTTATTGTCTTTATTTTATTACATTTAGCACTTTATACTGATATGCACCTATTTTTCTGAAGTAAAGGCAAGGCCTGTTTATTTGTACAGCACTTTGCAACAACAGGGCAAATCAACGTGCTTTACACTTTTTTTTTTAAAGCATTAGGACGACAACAGAAACACATTATACAATAACATTTTATTAGATCTGAAAACAGTCATTTCCAAATTGAAAAAATGCTCAACTAGAATAAGACTAAAAATAAGGTTTTAAATTCAATAACAAGTTACAGTGCAGTTTATTTAATTGTCTTCAGTTTTGATTTAGAAGACATGATAGTTGTTGATGACCTGCAGGTTTCTGAACTTTTGTTCCAGATATAAGGAGCATAATAACTGAACGCTGCCGTTTCATTTTGAATATCAGGAGGACAGTAAATGTATTAATTGACTAATGCTCCATCTCTCCTGCAGGGTTTTCCTGGTCCTCAGGGGTTAGTCGGGCTGCCAGGAGAGAAGGTAAGACACTTTTCCTCAGAGTTGTTTCCCTTTAGGGAGAAGGAGTCTTGATTGACGGGCTGATCCTTGTTTTTCAGGGACCTCAAGGGAAGAAAGGGACGCAGGGCTTAGCTGGAAACGACGGGCCCTCTGTGAGTACTCGCATGTTTGTACTCATGTTAGATCCATAGGAGGACTCTTATTGATACAGTGCGTTCCCTAGTCCTTAACCCTATCACTAAAATCACAACGACAGATATTAACATGTCCTCTTGTCAACAGGGTCATCCCGGAAGAGAAGGGACTCCAGGGGAAAAAGGACTGCCGGTAAGTCTATCAGAAACATGTTGTGCTACTGTAGTTACAGATAACTAGAGGGATTATACGACAAGATATAAGGTGTTGATACGTGAGTTCTAGAGGAGCTGGGTGGGAGGAGGATTTTCTTATTTATTTAGCAAATTAATAGCTCGCTGTTTCCCGCTGTTTCCAGTCTTTTTGCCGACAGACTGCTGGTTGTACCCTTATATTCAATCATTTCATCTAACTCCATATTTTCTTTTGTAGGGTCCTTTAGGAGTGCAGGGACCCATTGGTTACCCCGGACAACGAGGAGTCAAGGTAGGAAATGCAAAAGTGAAATATTCTTGTTTTGTTTAATAAAATAAAAAACGGACTCTTTGATAATTATCTGGCTTTAAAATAACCTAATGGATTTCATAGTCTCTTAGTGTTTGAAGAAATCTGATGTAACCCTTTTGATTAAATCCAATCAATCGTGTTTTTGTCCATCTTAATATGAGGCTGTATTTCATTTTAGAAAAACTCATTTCCACAAAATCTCTCAGGATTAAACATAATATGATTTTCATTGCCAAAAGTCAGATATAATGTTGAATAATTATTTTTGATATGCTCGCCACCTCATGAAGATTTTACAAACAGCTGGCTAATCTATCATTAGTCATCATTTCATGTGTGTGTGTTGACTTCCAGTTTGTTCTGTCTGTCCTGTTTGACAGGGAGCAGATGGAATCCGAGGATTAAAAGGAAGCAAAGGAGAAAAGGTGAGGAAGACAGATAGGAGTTGCAGTCTGTGTCCATTCAGGGTGTTTTATTGACCAAACAACACATTTCCCCTAGAAACCAACCACAGTATACATGCTGATTTTTGACTTCCAGCTCTGACTCTCTGTCTCTGTCTCCTGATTCCTTCTGTCCGCAGGGGGAAGATGGTTTCCCAGGATCCAAAGGGGAGTATGGAACAAAGGGGGACGTTGGAGACAACGGAGTCATAGGAGGCCGAGGAGAAGACGGACCCGAGGGGCCCAAAGGAACGACGGGGCCTCTGGGAGAATTCGGACAATCTGGTACCTCTGGAGAGAAGGTACAGAGAACATTTACCGTCACATTGGTTTGTTTGAGAAGTGTCCAAACGTCTCATAAAAAAGTGTACAGGACGAGGTATTAGTCACATATACTTGAATAAAATACATATTTGTGCTCGATGCTTGTTACGTCCCCAACTCGTTTAGGGTAAAAGGGAAGCAACACGAAACCAGATGTTCTTGGTAAGAGGTTGATTTTTAATAATAAACACAAATAGAAATGATATAAACAAAAGTATAGGTTCTTGAAATAGGAGCTATCTATTTATGATATAAGAAAACAAAAGAAGGCCACAGATTATCACAATCACAGAACAATATGGGCACTTTAGGCAAAAATAGTGAGGCGTCTTGCACAAATTCAACGCCGTCACAAGTCACAGAACATACACAAACATTTTAGAGAGTAGAGTAGCCTGGCGTCCTGGCACAAATCCAGCGCCTCGAATGACAGCAGCGTCACAGCTTAAGTAGCGTCATCAAGCGTCGTCCAGGCCTCTTCCGGTGGGAAGAACTAAACAACGTCACACCGACGCGGTAACCATGGTACCTAAAGGCAGCCATATACACACACATACTGTATATATATACACACACAGAATGCTCACAGGCCGGTTAATGCAGAAGGCAAAGGCGACAGCCGTCACAATGCTGATTAATTTAACATAGCTTAAACCATCGGGGAGGCTCATCATTTTTACTTTCATTTAGTTATTGTCCCAGGACGCTTACGTAACAAGCCTCAGGAAACACAAATCTGTTAAATGCGGCCTATTTTTTCATTTTCTTTAGATATGAAAATAAAGTATTATTAGGCAAACAGGGTACATTCTTGCATAACCCAATACAGAGGAATTGATACTTGCAGTAAAAAGTTGGCTGATCGCAATCTTCTTTAAAAAACATACCATTTCCTCCAGACTTTTGTTCGAGAAAGCCTCATATGCTTTTACTCAAAAGCCCCAAATCATGAACTCTTCCGCTCTCCTCACAAAAAGTGTACAGGACGAGGTATTAGTCACATTGTGAATCTTCTTTTTTAGGGTAAACTGGGAGTTCCTGGACTTCCAGGATATCCAGGGCGACTGGGGCCGAAGGTAAGATACTAAATAAATAAAAGAATACCAAATGATTGTATTAGGAAAATATCACTCGTCACCGGCTTGAGCTTCAATAATCAGGATCT